CATGTCACCTTTACTTCTACAAGTCAGGTACCCATTACTGCTGGGTGGGTAGGAGGGGGGCGAAAAAAATCTGTGTCCGAACTGAGGCTTGAACCTAGACTTTCCACGACGAGAGTACTAACCGCTCCGCAACCGCACAAGAGAGTAACATACACAAAAAAGAAAGAGGAAAGATAAGGATGATAGATGTTTGATAGGAAAGAAGGAGCAAACCACACCAGAGCCCCCACTAACCACCCACACTGGTGATTGTCTTGTACAGGTGGTCAATACAGCAGGTTGAACTGTACGTACAACTAAGCTTAACCGTGCATCTTGGCTCTTCTAAACAAACAGCAAAAGGACAAAATACACAACAACTGTCACTCTCATCAAGAAAAAACCCAGAACCAGCTTCAAAAAGTTGTATAATTTTATTGTTTATGTAAGTCATCTTTATAATACAGGATCTTAAACGTACATATGAGATATTCTGACAAAAGAAACATAATGTAACTGTTAATGGGCACAGCCATTTTCTCTCTTCATGGTGGAGATGAAAGAAGTTTGGCTGATTTCCATGACTATCATCAACTGTATTTTGATTCCGATTTTTAAACTATGCTCATTATGTACGAAGGCAAAAAAGAGAATGGAAATGAATGGTATTCTTTACTAAGTAAAACCTTGAAAAGAGATGTTTTGCTTACACTTTTTGACACTAGGCAACCAATTTACAAAATTTTAATATTTATTCTTGTATCTTTTAACCATCAAAATATTTAAAACATAATATAATCATTGCTTAAGAAAAAGCAATAGATTACATTATAACAATAAATGAGAGGGATAAAAATCTATAAAATGATGAAGAATGTTTGGAATATGATGTAATTTACATGTGAGGCATCAGGATGAATATACTAAAAAAAGAAATTATCAACGAGTATGAGTATGATGAAATAGAAATTTGACTTAACCAAGATAGATAAAATAAAATGCGGACAAAATTTTTGTATCTAAGAAAACAGCCGTGCCAAACTCGCAAGTGACGGTCAGGAGAGGAAATGGAAAATAATTTTGATTTGAAATTGTACCTGACTAAATTGTCAGTACAGTCACCAACTGATTTGGGGTTGTGACCAAATCTTAAAAAGAGGGGATAAACTCTTATGACAGCAACAGATCTATTGATAATAATAAGAATAAAGCAATTAATACAAATAATAATAATGATGATGATAATAATAATAATAGTAATGATGATGATGATGAAAATAATAATAATAATAATAATAATAATAATAATAAATAATAATAATAATAATAATAATAATAATAATAATAATAATAATAATAATGATAAGGTGAGAGGGAGCTTATGTCTCCATAATAATAATAATAAAGTAGGGAATGAAAAATACAAACATGAGGTCAGTTGAAACTTATTGCACTTTCCCTCAGGCAATACATATGAGGACTGCTAGTGCCTTGGTCAGAGCTGTATTGGGCATTGGGGGCATTGACTGCACATGTGTTTTGCTTCCATAAACACAATTTAGAGCACTTTAGAGACTGGTGGCTTTGACTGTTAGCGTAACTTAGAGCGGACTCTTAGTGAGTAGGAGGCAGCATGCAAGAAGACAGAAAACAAAACTCTACACTTGAGAATGGAACTCATGTCTCCTGCGCACAAGGTGGAAAGCTTAACAACAGGAGCTGGTAGATAGGGAGGAGCCCTCTAGTTGCTTTGAAATCTTCTTCACTAGCTGTAAATCCCAAAATATGTCCTAAAACCAGCTCTGAGAAAGTTAGGATTAAGAGTTTGCTCTCTTCTGACATAACATGATATTTTGCTTACACACAGCCTACGGATACCCCCCAAATCTGTCCAAAAAGCAGCTGTGAGAAAGACAACAAGCAGAGAACCAATGGATCCAAGACTCATGTTACCATGAGAAACAACCAAAATGAGCATGAGAGAAAAATGCTAAAGTAAAAATGATGTATGCAACATGATATGCAGTTCTTGATGCCTTCGAGGCGTGTCATCAAACAGAACAAAAAGAATCAAGTAACTGGGAATAAGCTATGATACAACCATTACAAATAAATTTCATTGAGGGATTTGGGGGGGGGGGGGGAGGGGGAGAAGAGGTGGGATGGGGGTGGGGTGGGGGCCGCTGGCTAAAGAGAGGAAAGAAAAAAATACATGTTGAAATAAGATTCAAGAAGATATGTTTTGCCAGAACTCCACTGACCTTGTGTAGCAAACAAATAGAATAAAAGTAATAGTAAAATCAAAACAATGTTACAAATAATAGTGAGACATGTCATGGTGAAACATTACTGTTCAAAATAAAAATTCGGATCATTCATAATGATATGCACATTTTTTTCATCGCACGAAGTAAAAAATGATGAAAGGGAAACAATCTGTCAATAAGAACAATCCTTGCGCATTGTCATAAGATAAATTTTGGCCCCTGGTTGTATCATTATGTAAGTATTAACAAAACTTTAAATTTCTTGTCTGCTACACTTACATGTCACACATGAACAAGAGTCATGGACGTTCCTTCAAAGAGCCACGTAAAAATAAACAAACACTTGCCATGTCAGATTTGAAAATTAATCTTTAAGTACTGAGTGGAAACAGTCTTGTGACACTTTTGTCAAACAGCATATAGAGACGTCTCAGATTTGTCAGAAAAAAATACTACCGTCTCACTTTGATTTTAAAATTCATCAGTTTGAAGTAATATTTGAAATAAAATATTCCTCTCTGAACCCATAAAAAAATTATTATTAAAAAAGTCCATTAAAGGGCAACAATTTTGACTACTGTATTCAATGTAATAAATTTTTTTTATTATGCCTCGTGTGTGCTGCTGCATAAAGCACACTCTGAATACAATAGACTTCAATGTCATGTTCATCAAGTTTGAGTAAACTTCCAAAGTTAAAACTGAGACAAAATATAAAAGTGTTGTAATAGGAAAATCTTCGAATGGGGACTTTTACTTTGTGACGTGTCTTCTAACAAAGATGCGACAAAGTGCTAAAAGGCTACAACTGTTCAAAGTCAGTGAGTCACTTAGCCTGCACTGTCAAGAGCAGTATACTTCAACAATACAAGTTCTAAATTAATCTTGTACCCTCACTGGGTCCTAAAAAGTTAAGTACCATTAAAAATGTCCAAAATCTTTGCCTTCCATAAAAGTATAAACGGCAAGTACCAAAAAGAAAAGCGTATGATCTCTCATCGTATATTGAATTGTCCAGTACAGCATAATTTCTTTAAAGACATATGAGGACTATGTACAAATCAGATCTATGCCTTCCTAGCTTGCATGGTGCTTCCAGTGAAACACCCCATCTCTGCAAATAAAACCAATGTGTAAGGCTGTGATGAAAAGACAATAATTTGCTTTCGGATTTCCATTTATTTTGAGAGTGAGAAATTATTTCTTTGGATAACAGAAGGAGCAAGCAATCCAAGCAAGCTGTCAGTCATGGCAACGATTCAGAAAATGATAAAACAGCATACGTTCTGTACACGTTTGTTTTTCTCACAAAAAGGATGACGTTGAAAAACACAAGCCAATAATTTGAGCAACCAGGAGAATGAGACATTTCTTGTCATGATAAAAAAAAAAAAGAAAAAAAAGAAAAAAAAAAGGCATTATTCATCTATTCTAACTTATTTTAGTCACTCAACAAAGTTGAACATTGATAGAAAATTTCTCAGAAGAGATCCAATGGCAAGACCAAAATCTCTTTAAAGTTAAAGACCCTACCGCAGCCAGGCTCATCAGACTGTCAGAAACATGGTATGATTTTGTTTTGCACAAAAGTTTTTCTAATTATCTGTCATTGCTGTAAAAAGTTAAACTATGTTAGAGAATCTTAGCAATGCAACTTCTTCAAGAAGGCTACCAGTATTTAAGACCTGAACTCATGAAAACAACATTCGAAATGCATTACTTTTGTTCCTGCAGTAATTGGTCATAAAAATGTTTTGATAGATTCTTCTACAGTCATGAGCATGGTAGAATTCATTACATGAAAACTTCCAACCTGATAAAAGTGAAGATCATTATCATGTAACAAATTCAGTGCCATTGTGGCCCATCACAAGCGGGACAAGAAAGAGTTGTTTATGGAGAATATTGTATCAAATGAAAATGGCATTCATTCATCAATCAAATTTTGAAAATTATAACAATATAAGGAACAATCATATACATCTTGAGAGAAAAATAGCAGCTCAAATGAGCCTTTTTAAGTAGATAAATAAATTAAATTGCCTGATGCGCATGTCTTAAAAAATGTAATTCTCAGGCATGTATGTATAAACTATTTACAGTCAAATAGCTCTCCAGTATAGGAGACAGGGGCAAGGTGAGGGTAGGGTAGCAGGCTCGCTATGAAGGCTGAAGCTTAGAAAAAAAAAGGATATGGATTTGGAATTAGCTGAATTCAATCATCAGTTAAACTTTACTCGTTTGAAGCGAGCAATTTAACACATGGTCCAGAATCATTTAAGTCTATGGGTTTCATCCACGCATGAAAAAAAATGCTCTGAATATTCAAAGAATCCCCTTCTAGATGAAAGAGTCTTTTAAACAAACTTCAAAAACAGTTAGCTTAACAGGTCTTGGAAATTCCTCAGAGTTGGGAAAGTAACATGTACCTATCAAAGTATATCCCAACTCATGACTGCTCCCCAACACTGCACAATGATCGGAACATGATTGCAAAAACCAGTTCCAGAAGACTCATCATGCAAACACTCCTCTTTGAGACAGCTTTTGGAAAAAAAATCTGAACGTAAACTGAAACAGGCTATTTTCCCTTCTTCAGAAAACTACTGTACTAGAAAGTTCAAACTTAACTACAGAGATAGAGAAATTTTAAAAAAGTTTAAATGGTAAGAAATTTAGCCTAAAGTACCGGAGCACTCTGCTTTTTACAAAGAAGGCAGTAAGAGACCCCTGGAACAAAAACAAAAATAAGAATTTTTTTTCTGATATACAAATTTACAAAAGGATATGACTAACACTGAAAAACATGTCTATGTATTGGTAAACAGAGTACTAAAATGAACTTTAAAGTAAAGAGGTAACAACGCAAATGGCAGTTTCAACTTGACTAGGACATAAGTTTTCAACAAGCTTGACTATGCAAACAAAGCAGAGCAACAAAAAAATACAGCAGAGGTCCTAAACAAATGAAGTAACATACATCAGTAGCCTTCCTAGATTTGAGTATATTAGTGCATACGACTAAGTTTCGCTTTGATTGTTTGTATCGAGGCAACTTTAGATGCCTTATTCATGGCTTTGTATCAAGCAAGTAGCGGACAATTCACAATAAACAGAAAAACATACATGATCAAAAATTGAAATAGCATTATAAACAAAATCATTTGAACAAATCAATAAAAAGGGGTAGAAACCAAGGCCGGTTCTAAAAGCAATTACTTTGTGAAATACAGAATTTTATCTAAAGTTGTAAAATAAAAAAAATCAATGTATCATAGAACATGATCAGACAGAGGCGGATTGAAATCCACACTGAGCCAATTTTTTAAATGGCATCAAAAGATGACATAGCATGAAATTATTTTAAAAAACAAACAAAAGAAATATCAGAAAATTGTGTGGAAATGGCTGCTCTAAGGATAAGCTTGTTCTCTGTGATCGTAATCTCTCTCTCCATTGGATTTCAATAGTAGCGACTTTTCCCCAGCACACAGCATTCAGTCCACACGTAGTCTGGATCTAAAGAAAGAAAAAAGGAAAAATAAATGTATAAGACTAGTAATTCAATAGCATTCCTGAATTGGGAAAGCCTAGAGCATGGTGACAAGACTGTATGCAGATCTTTGTGACATTATCACTTTGATGCACATCCGTTTATGATTTCTAAAGCAAACTATGAACAAATTCAAATGATGAGAGCCGTACACTTTCTTAATAATCAGTAGTTTCAACACCTGAGGCAATAAAATGAAATTATATAAAAAGATGCTATACAGTTATTAATGGAAAGGCATTTGGTGAAAGTAACTCACAAAATTAAAAATCTATAAGAACTTTTTATCTTTCAATTTCTCTTGTTCGTTCATGAAATTCGTTACGTAGAATTCCTGTCTAACTCAACCATCAATAATTTTTATACTGTTTTTATCAATAAGCAGGGAAGATTGATTCTTTAAAAAAAAAAAATCCTTTTTCTTTTGCTCTTAGTGATGATCATGTTGCAAAGAAAAGAAAAACACAAATTAGTGAATTAAGTCAAAAAGCAACAACTTCAAACAGTCAACACTGAACAATGCCCCACAGATTCAAATCTTCACAAAAAATAATTCTGATTAATCCAAAAAAATGACCACACAGACAGTAATAAATCAATACAATAAAACATATGAAACTTGTACGTCTTTTCTAGTTTCTTTTTGCCTTCGAATGTTACTATCTATGTCTTTTGAGCATAAGATCTTAAGGTATAGCGTCAGTGCTTTTCACCATTCCATAATTTCCAGAAGATGATACCAGGGAAAGAAATGATTAGGTCAAAGATTTTGGTTTAGAGTCGGGTTGACCATCTAAAAATGTGGTTTTGAATAAACAAAAAAATATTTCATTTGAGGGGAAAAGCAAACTTGACTACCCCAACAAAATAGCACATTACAAAAACAAAACCCCTGAAAACGAAAACAAAATATTCTAAATGAAACACTTATCAGCACAATAGGCATACAACTTGATTCCAGAAAAACATGAAAGAAACACAAACAAACTTGATCATATCCAATAAATAGAACCATCTAGAAGAGGATTTCCCCCACCCGATTTACTGAAACATAATCATGGCTTTGTAGGATTTGTAGATGGATGGAAGGAAGGAGGTTCAAAAACTATCAGGGACGAGTAAAGTGAGACAATACACAAATGACACACTCTATCCACTAGAATTAAAAACATAGACCAGGCTGGTGACACACCAAGGAGGAAGAATCTTCAGAGCTTGTGTAAAAAGTCCAACATAAATACACAAAACAAAACAAGACAGAAACACAAAGAAGTGGCGGTGTACAACTCTCAGTAAAACTCAAAAGCCATCACTAAAAACACTCCAAAGATAATATAGAAACACATAGGGCTGAGAAAGATGTCCTATCATATTGGAACAAATTCAAATAATTTGACTCCATTTCAACCACACCCATCAGCTACAATCCAAGTTTTTCATAGCCGCAAAGAGATAGTGTTTATTGTAAAATGATACCACACAGCTATTGTCTTCTGGGAAATTGGTAGCATTTTTGCAATGCATTTTATATTACAATTTAGTAAATGGATTGCAACAATAAAAACTATGCAAAATGAATAAAAATGAAAATATATAATCCAGAAAAATAAAGACAAGGCTAAAAACCACTTTTATACAAAAATAATACTTATAAAATAATGACAAAACCTATTTTTAGTCTTACAAAATTGACTTTGTCTCAGCTGAGTGCACCCTTTGTATACAACAAATGGTTTGAAGTACATGAAAAATAAAATAGTATGGCCACAACTACTGCACAATGAACAAACACAACAAGAACACGTAATATTGTACAAGAATTAAATTGGAAACAATGGTGATCAGAAGTAACGCCGAGCACTTTTGTGACACAGCAATAGGAATTCAGTACAACATAGATTTTGAAAAAAAGCTAAGTCAAAACACTAACAATCACGTTGACCACAACCCTACACCACTCCGATCTGTTCATAATGCACTTCTCACAATGATTTAAAAGACATGAGAACATTATTTGTCACAAAGATACAGAGATTTTACTAAATACTAAACGCAGGTTAGAATCATTTCATACCATCCTAGGCTTTGTGAAGCCAATCTGTGACCTATGCAAGAACCTGATAATTCATATTTTAGGAACACTGGGAAAAAAATCACTCTCTTCAACTGAAACAAATTACGAGATTCATTAGTGACAATGACACACTTCAGCAAATCAGATAAATTGCCATAGCTCATTGAAAGAAAATATTGAATTATTTGAAGTTTAAACTGACAATTATTTTGGCTATATGGGAGTTATCAGGTTGATACATATGGTCATAGAACATCTGTTTGACAGAAGCCCTCACTGACTTCATGATAACAAATTAAATAAAAAGGAAAAAGGACAACGGCTCCAGGTGGCAGGCATGTTGTAACTCCACAAGAAATTGTTCCGTTTTTGCAAGGGAAAATCCAACCTGGTTGTCTGAATCCTTTATCATTTTACAAGTGGTTTCTTTTTTCAGTTGCGAGACTCTATGACGTCCATCTGTATATTTTCTTTCGGAACACTTCCAAACTGAGCTCTTTTTTAGTTATGTTCACAGAAGTCAGCAGGGCTATGATCACATTTTGCCATCAGCAAAACAAGACAACTGACTTTTTAAGAAAAAGTAGAAGACAGTGATGATTACACAAGTAATCGATCCATCTCGTACAATTCTTGCCAGGCCTTACAGCAAATGAAAATAAATCTCTTGTCATTTCCAGCCTCTGTGCTGTAACGGTAAACTCCAGTCCTTGCAGGTTTAGGATGATGAGTTTGAGTCCTGGTCAGCCAAATGTGGAGGATAATGTTATTGAATATCTCTGAGAATGTACTCCACACAGTCTGGGGTCGCAGTGACAAACAGAGAAGTAGCAGCAAAAACCTTTACACTAAGAAGCACACAAGTCTGTAGTTTCCTCTGCTGTATTTTTGCAGCATATACAGGAGAGAAATCCAATGGGTGTTCCGTAGGCTTGCTCGGCTTTCATGACACTGTTGGTTGACTGGTGGTTAGGTTGCTGGACATATCTGTATGTTCTTGGTCTCACTGGTCTCACTCTCTCATGTGTATATTAGAGAAGTGTTTTCAGTAGACAGTTTTATGACATCCAAGCTTGACACTGTCACTGGTACCTGAACTGATAGGTTTCAATATACTTAACCCCCCTCCCTCACCAAACCCCCTTTCCCTTTTAAATAGATCCACTGCGCATCAGAAGAATGCACAGAGTAAAAAGTAAGTGTATGGGTTTTACACCTTTTTCAATACAGTTCCCTTATTTAAGAGGTGGAACCTCTGAACTGAAAGTCCACTTGTGATAGGATTCTACTGCCAAAAGGGTTGAGAGCTTTGGGAACTCCCCCAACAAAACACTGAAGTTTAAGAACATCCAGTCTCTAATCTGAGCCCGAGCCATGCACTTCCTAGTCTGACAGGATACCAACTGAGCTAACGGAGAGTCCTTTCAAAGGATGAAATACCAAGCATCAACACACATAGGCCTTTTGTAAAACATGTATTTACTCTGATGCATTGTTACTGCCTTCTTTCCTTCCATTTAAAGGATTTCTAATAGAAACGTTCGGTACCTTTTCTTTTTTATTAGTGTTTAGAAGCAAGAAAATCCCCCACAACTCCTCGTCTTGGACTCTCTGACTTGGTACTCCTTTGCAGCTGGACACACGTTCAGAAACAAATATTCACCCATACAATCAAGCACATACACCATCAGCAGTACACCAAGACATATAAACATTCCTGCAGAACAAGAAATTCCTTGGTTCACAACCCTTTGATCAACATTGTTCAACTTATCTGACCTGCATGAGCAAACAGGTGAAATCAGCTATGTACATTTGGCAATTTTTGTTCTGTTTTTTTGGCTTTTGACATAATAGCTCCTATGAAATGTCTAGATTCTGGACCTGCAACTCGCTGTCTGTCCTCAGTGAGTCTTACTATTTCCATATGATATCTTAGGGAGTCTAAAAACTGAATGGATAAGTGACACTTTGAGAGAGTACAGGGCACCTCAGAATCTGTTCCCAAAATAGGATTCAATTTGGACTCTATATAAAGTCATACATCAATTTTGAAAAGTGTCAAAAGCCCACTATTGGCAATTTGAAACATGTGTACTATTAAACAATAAAAACAATACAATTACATTCCATCGTAATATTCATTTTGAGACATTTCGATCTGGTATGCACATTCACAAAGAAATTAACAATATCTTGCACATTCTGAACTTAGCGCAGTAATCTAATGTACAATCTCATTACAAATCCATGGACATAAGTTGGAGAAAATTTATTTAAAAAAAAATATGGGACACAAGGGAATGTATAACTTGATTCCAGGGGAGTAAACTATATTGTTTTCTTTTCAAACACGTAGGATCCGTAACCTCCATTTCAAAATGGTTGACAATTGCATTTTCCATGTCAAACCATTCACCACATCACACAACCGCATAAATTATTTAAGAAAATAACCTAACTTTATTGATGGAAAGTTTCCTGTCTAGTGACACTATCGACTCTAGTCAGACCATAATGTGTTAAATGCCAAGTATACTAAAGAGATTTGGATAATAGAAACACTGAAAAAGAAGGAGCAAACCACACTGACACTCTGCCTGCCACCATGACATGGCATACGTGAATAACTGTTTACAATATAGGGAAACTATGCAAGCTACTTCCGCTGGCAGTTAACGTATAAAAATTTGCTTCATAGTTTTGCTTCTGGAAGTTAAAAGAAGAAAAAAAATGCATGTAAGTAGTATGTTTTGTGGGGAGGGCAGTTGTGTTGTTTGATTTCAGCTAAACTAAAACCACTAAGATTCTGAGTGTTAGTGAATGCATACAATTGTGAGTGTGAAAATTTGTACGTGTGTGTGTGTGTGTGTGTGTGTGTGTGTGTGTGTTTTGATTGATTGACTGATTGATTGATCGAGTAGGTGTTTACGGCACTATCGACTCAATTTTGGTCATTTAAGTGCCAATAGATTTTGTGTGTGTGTGTGTGTGTGTGTGTGTGTGTGTGTGTGTGTGTGTGTGTGTCTGTGTGTATGGTATATGTACTACACGTGTATCTATGAAAGAAAGCTTGAGTGAACATGAACCAGTAGGCCTACACATGCTTTTGTTGGAGCCAATCAGACAGTTTCTCCTTAAAACTCTTGTGTTATTTTTGCTTACAATGTACAACATTTAATTCGTCTTGTATAAGGAGACAAGCTATAACAGACAGACAGAGAAAGAATGCCACATTCAAACAGCCAGACCATTAGTACATGGACAGACAAAACACACGGCAACAGACGGATTCCAGTACAACACATCAAAGACTGCTGGTGTGTATGTACACGGGTTAAAAAACTCACAACAGGGGGACGTGGTTAACACGCACACGCACACACACACACACACACACTACACGGGTCCTATATATGCCGCAACATGCAGGAGAAGGGGGAGGGGTGGAATCTTGTAACTCAGTGATAGCGTGCTCGTTGCACGATTGAAGACGCTCTGTGTTTGGGGTACTCGTAAAAAGAAGCATGGACTACAGTACCTTCGTTAGACTATTCATACAGATTTGTCCCTTCCATTTCCTCTAGATCTATCGGAAACTTAAAAAGTCAAACAGTCAAACAATAACATGCGTACTAAGAAATATGCCAAATTGTGTTTATATGTTCGAAAATTACCGCTACATTTGCAGCTGATGGATTATGTGTCCGCACTGTCGTTAACAAAGGAAAACTTTCCAACGCTCGCAGCTGATTTCAGTAGCCTTTTATTCCCTGTTCTAAGAATTAATTACGCATCAATTTTACTGGTCTAGGAAAAGGATGATTAAATTTGTAACAAAAATATCTTGAACTATTGAAATGGATACCTGAAGTCATAATTGTCATCATCAAGTGCCAAAGCCGAGACAGACATTGACGATCATGGTTCTTCATTCATTCCTTTGCTAGGATGCTCCAAGAAAGCTATATCATCTTTATTTTTCCCTTTCACTCATCTGCTTGAGCAAGTTGCCCCGGGTCTCCACACCTGCCTGGTTTGCCCTTAATTTTGCCAGTGTCCCCCAGATATTCAAGGGTGTCTATTCAAGCGTCCCAGAAACAAGAAATGCATTTGTCTTCTCCTGATTGCGAGTGGTGGGCTCACACGGGCTTCTTCAAGTACTACATCATTTCTTTCTTTTCCTTAAAAAAAAATTCGGAAGTCATAATATCACCAACCTAAAAACTGATGTGTTCAGAAAACACAAAACGACTGTGTCTGTTTACAAAATTTAAATACAGCTTACCCAACCTAAAAGAATTGTTCCAAAACAGGCCTGACGCTATTTTGTATGCATTTTACACGCCCCAGGGATTTCCTCAGGAAACACTAAACCAGAAAAAAACAACAATACGATTTTCCTCCAAAAATTCTAGCAACGTCGGTATAGGTCTATTTTCTAACAGAGTACGGGGAAAAAATTGAAGACTTGCAAAACCTTTAGAGTGTAGAAAAGATACAAAGTTGATAGATCTACTTAGTTTTATCTTTTAAGTCTAAAAAGTCTTCTTGCACCAGCAATGGATATAATATAGATTCTACTAAAAAATACAAAAGTTCCGAAATGTGGAAAATTACAAATTCACAACATTAACCATACTCCTCCACACAGTCGCCCACCGGGAGACTCCCAGAAACTTGACAAAGTGAATGACCAACATCACACATTGCTGGGCATAAAAATGAAACAACAACAATTGTTACAGAACTCATCAAGTTGTGGAATTTTCTCACCACCGCATTTGTTTGCTTGTTGTTTCTTTGCAATGAAAAAACCTTCACTCTTGTTTTTGGCTGTAGATTTTTTTAGTTTTTGCTATTAAAAAAACAGTTTCTCAAGGATGGCAAAAACGTTTCAGCACTAGTTAGGAGGAACAAAGGAGACATTTTCATTCAATAATTTCTGAGGGTTTTTTGTAGTTGTTTTTATATGTTGCTTATTCCAGGTATCAGCCAACTACAACAACATCATCAGCCAGGAAGAAAACAGAAAAACAAAACCAGTCTCAAAAAGCAACATTTTCCTCCCCCCCCCCCTCTGTTTTTGCTTTCTGTTCGTTTGATTTTCGTTTTTCGTTTTCCAATGACTCTCGGCTTGGGTTTCCCAGTGGAAATGAAGAGCAAAAATCTGCTGTAGTGTTAGCAATGTCCCAAAATGCCACAGCTGAGTGAGTAGATATAATACAGAACACAGTCAACATACCAAAACATGGAAAAACAAAACAAAACAAAAAATGCCAAGAAGTTCACTATAGTAATAATAATAATGATGAATTTGCTCAAAGCCACAATGTCACTCTAGAACACTTTAAAGAAAAGACAAAGAAAAAAAGTAAATCAATAACTTTCCAATCATAGCACTGGGTACAAAATCAAAAAAAAAAAAAAAAAAGAAGACAACCAAACCGTCCAATGAGCACACTCGTTACACAATGTAATAAATACGAAATCATAAATATTCAAACTAGATTGTCAAGAGCACAGGCAAATAACGGGACAATGTCGACTTCAGTGGATAACACAGCCCACCCACTTACACCAATGCTGAGAGGACTAGGTGGAGTGACAGGCCCACCGACCAATCACAAGCCCTGAAGTGGGCGGAGCTATGGGCTGTGGGAAGGCAGGCTAGAGGTCAGGTAAAAGAGGAAGAAAAGTATTATTGAGTGAACGAACCACCCTCACCAACTATGTATTTTCTGTTTATTCTAAATTCAATTCTTAACATCAACAACTGTTGAAAAAACACAAATAAATGATAGTGAAAAAGGAATAACTTCTGTTCACACTCACAAAGACAGAAAACAAAGAATCAAATTTGTTTAAAATAATGAGAATTAATGAAGAACAGAAAAAAACAAAACAAAACTGATCATTTGAAGCCAAACTTTGTTTATATTGTGTGCAGTATGTTGGGTGGGCAAAAACAGTACTTTTATTGTGAACAATTCTACTTCAATACATTGGAAAATAGATAAACGCTTAACCCTTTTTTTGCATTTGTTTTGGTAACAAATTCAACACTTGACATATTTTCTGTGTTGCCAATCTCTAGAAGCAAAATAAGGAATGTTCCTGGAAAAAGGAACAATAGAGATGTTAATTATGCAGTAATATTTTCCCTATCACGAAAAGGGTCTGACAGAGATAACCTCATCGGATGTTCTTAAGATTTTTGTAAGTGGCCAGACAAGGGAGAAAAGGTTCTTGACAAAAGTAGCAAAAACAAACAACTGTAGCAAGTCAATAAAAGGTATATATAAAGCATAAGGAAAGGTTGAGTATGGTCAATATATAAAGGCTCAGTATCTGAGGAAGAAAGAATCTCTATAATGAACTGCTCAATTCTTTGAATTCCTATTCTCATCAGTAATAAGAATTGACCTTCAGGTTGAAAAATTAGAAAGCCAAATACCAGCCAAAGAAAACTCCTTTAAAAAAAAAGAACGAATGAAAAAAATAAAGAAAGACATATAGAAGAAACAGAAACATACGAGACATGAGAACAAACAAGACGCTGACACCCTCACACCCCCGGAATGTGATAAATACCATGGGCAAAGCTTACCAAATTTTTGGTCAGGACCAACAGTTTGCCAACGCAGCGCAAACCTAGTACGGACGATTCGCGTCCTTGGGTCTCTTCAGCTGAACCTTGAGTCTTTTCATTCCAATCTGGAAACCATTCATGGCCTGAATGGCAGTCTGAGCACTAGCTGGGTTGTCGAAGCTGACGAAACCTGAACAAGTAGAATCAATATTAATTCTTATTGCTGTACTTCATAAATCATTGAGGAAATCCGTCTTGTGTAATCCATGACAGTACATTTAATCATTTAAATTTGTTCAGCAGATATACAGATCTCACTATTAGTTTTCTGAAAGAAATGCTTATTCTACAGAGGAGATTTTATGAGTCTCACAAATTACTATCTCAAAGAGCCACACAACATTCTGAAACATTCTCAACCAGTGCATTTTTCAAACCCTGAGAGAAAAGGGAGCATCAGGACTATTTTTACGTAAAGAGCAAAAAAAAAGGTCAAAGTATAAATAAATGTAAACTACAAGACTATACTATATAATATACCATATAAACTCCGTCTAATTTCAGAAATCTGGATTTTGGGTCTATTGTCCATTAAAGGCAACATTTGGCCCTCCATGGAGAAGACTGGCTGTCCCCACAGATTGGCCGTGTGGATCAGGTATAACCAGCCACACTCAGGGGGGACAACTCACCAAAACATTTGCTCTGGTTGGTCGCGCGATCCACGTAGACTTTAGCACTGATCACATTGCCGAAGGGCACAAACATCTGTGCCAATTCGCCGTCGCCGAACTCCTGGGGCAGGTGATAGATGAACAGGTTGCAGCCCTCGGGGCCCTCCTTCTGAGCGGTGGGGACCAGGGTGGTGGGCTGGGTCAGCTGCTGGAACCCTCCGTACACCGCGGGGTAGGCAGCTAACCAGGCAAATTTTTGTGGGGGGGGGGGGGGGGGGGGGACACAACAAATTGAGGTTAATTTGTCTCTTGAGTCGCTCACAGCAGCAAGGTTTAATTCACGTATTATTATTATCAAGTTTTATGTCCACCCCAATCAATACAATTTGAGATAATTTTATGAAGTGGTCTGTTCTGAACCGTCAGGGCTGTTTTCTAAAGCATTGGTAAGCATTTTACAGCAGTTGCAACACAATTAGGTCACATAAAAGGCAAAGATGAAATGTAAGTCAGTCTCTAACTGAATACTACACAAAGGTACATCAATCACTCACCAATGCCTGCGTAAGATGGAATGGCAGCGTAGGCTTGGAGGGGGTCACCATTTGTAACAGCTGAAAACAGAAAAATTTCATTGTTCAGAAACGCACATTGACACAATAACAGTCATTTAGTCCTGTGAAAAAGTGAGAAATTAAGACAGAAACAACAAAGGGGAAAGAAAAGAAGGACCAACGAACCATGAGAAATTTGAGCAACTTTAATAATTAACTTTATGTTTGTTTGTGCACATTAATACAGTGATGGTGATTTGGTGCAAGGAAAAAGTAAGACAAGCCAGAAACAACAGAACGAAAAAACCCCAGTAAAACCTTTGCCCTCAAATCACCCTGATAAACAATGTACAGCTGTCAAATTTACCAAATCTTTACTCACATTTAACTAAAAGACACATCTCAAGGCCTGCACATGTACAATGTTCTATTTTGTAACTCAGCAACTTGTGGTAACAATTGCCACTGTGTATTCAAGACTTACAAAACAGATCTTCCTAATTTTATGTCATTCATTTTAAGAATCAGGAAAATCGGCTGTGCATTTACTTTTTGTTAAGATCGGTCGTGTCATAAGATACATCAGTGTAATGAGACCAGCACCCTATCAATTGACAATTCCTCTGATAGATTACAACACTGTTTACTGTAATAAACAATGCCATGGCTTTCATTTCAAAATTGAGCAAGCTGCTCAGAAGAAAAGTACATGGCTGCCCATGCCCACATGAGGACAGCCATAAACTTAATGGTTTCCATCTTAACCAACACAATTTTATGTCATTCAGGAAGCAAGCTGTATTGACCGCACTACTACTACTGAATTCTCTCCCAAGCTCTGAGGTCTCTCCCAAGCTTTGAGGTCTCTCCCAAGCTCTGAGGTCTCTCCCAAGCTTTGAGGTCTCTCCCAAGCTCTGAGGTCTCTCCCAAGCTATGATGAGATTCAGCCCTATAGCATGAAGACTGAGGAAATTTCCCAGGTTGGGTTTGAACTGAGGTCTTTTGGATATGAGGCAAAGACTAATGATAATGGAAAATAATAATAATAATAATAATAATAATAATAACTGTATTTATATAGCGCATATCCATGTCCAAGAGTATGCTCTATGCGCTTTACAACCATTATTACCCCAGTATACCATCTGAGAAAACACAGAAACATTCTCGGCTTACGCGGAAGCATACAGTGCAAGCTGCGGATTTCTCGCGCTCAAACACTATCAAACTGACAAGATCGTTCACTGTCTATAGCCGGGTACCCATTTCCACCTGAGTCAAGTGAGGAAAATTTGTGCAAAGTGACTTTCCCAAGGACACAACGTCGGGCCCCTGACGGGATTCGAACCCATGACCGTACGGTTGCCGAGTCCGAGAGCCTAACCACTAGGCCACCAACGAAAAGATGGCAGTATGAAGAGGCTTGCCTCAGTAATTGTAATTGTAGAATTTGTACACTCCCATTGATACAATCTACGATAATTCAAGAAACGGGTTGCTTCAACCCCGACTGTCAGGGCCAACCCAGGTTGAGAAGGGTGCAACGACCCAGCAGAAAGAGAGTTACTCCACAAAATTCTCTCTCTCTGTGAAATCGAATTTACCTCTTTGGTGTTTTTAAGTTTTAGTAAGTGCTCTACCGCACTTGCAACACAATAAGGTCATATAAGTGCCGAAGATTAGAGGTGTTACAAGAGAGTAACAGACACAAAAAAGGAGGGGGGGAGATAAAGATGATAGATGTTTGACAGGAAAGAAGAAGCAAACCACACTAGAGCACCCACCAACCACCCACTCCTTCATGTGCTACGGTGAGGTGTCTAACCACTACACCACAGAGGCAGTCAACTCACCTGTGTAATGTGGGATCCCATTGGTGTAGATCTCTGTGGTCCCGTTGGCTGGCGGCACAGGGAACGACGCCATGGCAGTGGGGGACAGCATGCTAGGGGGCGCTCCGTTGATGGCGGCTGGGGTGGGCGTTCCTGGGGGAGGGGGGAGAGCACCTGATATGGATTAAAACCTGATCCGTTCGGATAGAACAGTACGTTTTGTTGAGATAAGGATGATAGGAATAAAAGATTAAGACTTGATTTGTTCTGATGAAAGGATTAAAGAATTAAGACCTAACCCATTCTGACAGAGTTGTGAGTTGTGACAAAAATAAGACTTAATCTACCCCTGTCTACATAGGTATAGTGAGAAAATAATTAAATGACCTCTCACTCCATCCTCCAAAACGAACAAACAAAAACATCAACATGGAAAAAGAAAAAACCCCAAAAAACCGCGGCTAAATCCAAAATAAAAGATCAAGCAAAACTCTCACCCTCACCACTCTTCCTTAAAATCCTTAAAATAAACCCCTGTAACTTCCCCTCCCCACCCCTTTCAAGCTAGAAAGCTAAGAGATCCCTCTACTGGACCACTCCTGGACTAACAGATTGTACTACTGGACTAACAGATTGTACTACTGGACTAACAGGACTAACAGATTCTACTACTGGACTAACAGATTCTACTACTG